TAATAATAATAACAACAGTATTATCCTCATAACTGTTACATGTATAGAAATACCATGATCATGACTAGCCTGTCTCCCCCCGTGAGGAAAGAAACTCTATCAACAAGATTTCTTCATCTACTCTTAACTTGGGCATCAGCCTCACTTTGTCCAGCTGAATCAAAACTGTCGTCATCTTCCAAGTGCAGACGTTCCCCTCTTTCTCTTTCCTTGTGGATTCCATCTCAAAGCTTGATGGGTAATGTTCGTTTTTGGTATTCTCAAATGTGTTCAATCAATTTTCATTTTATCTGACTAATGATTTTTATATAATATTTTCTAGTGATATCAAAACTCCCATATTGTTCATTTTTCATGTTCATGTATCTTTCTTAAACAAGTGTTGATAAATTGCAATGCCAGTGGCTTTTACTTTTTAGAAGATTGATTAGCAAGTTTCCACTTTTTCGATCCATAGAGTACTACACTCCGACACTGGTGTCGAAAATCTTAAATAGATTCTCATTTCCGTATTTCCTGAATCCCATACCGTTGACGTGTGTTGTATTATCCTAGAACGGGCACTCCGGCGTACTTCCCGTACATTATGGTGAGCATTCTATTTTGACTCACTTTGACGCAAAGTGAAGGGCTCGTGGGGAACGTCCCGATCACACTCAACGTTGAGAGACTGGTGGTTTGCCTTTCATTTTGGGCGCTCATGGTGTGAACGCTTCGCAGTCTTTATGGAAAGCAAAGAGTGGAGAACATGACAGTGCGTGGTCAGATATATTATTCTAAGATTATTGGTCATACTTACCTCCCCTCGTTATTATATTCACTAACTGACAGGTTGTCTGCTCCGTCAATTGTATGTGTGTGGGGAGAGGGTTCGAATCCGTGTGCCAAGCTACCACTCGAGATGAGGTATAGGTAAAAGACAGCCCATGCCGCGATGAGCAGGTGAACACAGGTGTGGAGAATCGCCATCAGCATGGTCGTCACACCTAGACCTGGGAGGGCGGGTCCGAGGAGAGGGGGGGGGGAGTAGAAGAGATAGGGGGAGAGAGAGGGGTGGATAGGGAGTGGACGGAGGCGGGGGAGTAGAGGAGATAAAGGGTGAGAGAGAGAGGTTAATAAGGAGTTGCCCGGGGGGAGGGGGAGGGGAGATAAAGGATGAGAGAGACACAGAGAGAGAGAGAGAGAGAGAGAGAGGAGTGGATGGGGAGTGGGTGGGAGTAGAAGAGATAGAGGAAGAGAGAGGGGTGGATGGAGGGCAGCCGGGAAAAAAGGGGGAGGGGGAGACAAAAGGGGGTGGTATGAGGAATGAAGGGAATGACAGAGAGAAATAAATATACATAGAGGGGAAAATGAAAGAGACAAAGAGGATAGATAGATAACTAGATAAGTGACGACAAGGAATTTTTAGTCCTTCCGTGGCCATGGAATGGGTGGTAAGTGATAAGGGATCTACATTGATTTAGCTCGATTTAAACTTTACAATCTTGCACCAGGATGGAGATTCTAACAAAGTAGCGTCCTTACTAGGTCATCGTATGGGTACATATATAATGTATGGTGTAGTAGGGTATTGGGGGTTTTTTCCATGGAGACAGAGACTACAGATGTGTTTCGCTTTGGCACTGCGACAAATGATGATGGTGAAGATCAAGATTTTTTTGTGTTTCCTTAATGGGCCCTGTGGACTCCACGAAGAAATCTTCGAGAGAGAGCGAGGCTCTTTTTCGGCTTCATTGTCAATATACTTAGAGGCACATCCACTCATCCAAATAACTCCATTCGAATTGCCATTGGAGATGATGATGATGAAGGATGATTATGATGATGAGAAAATAATGATGATAATGATGATGATGATGATGACGATGATGATGACGATGATGATGATGATGATGATGATGATGATGATGAGGACTTACCTTTACAGAGAGGAGCCACACCCCACAGGCTAGGCCCCGCCCTCTGCATGAATTGACCCAATGAGATCTCAAGGAAGATGAGGGGAAGTCCCAGGAGGAGAAGGCACATTGTGTAGGGGATTAACAGAGACACTGAGGAGAGAGACACAGAGAGACACTGTGGAGAGAGACACAGAGAGACACTGTGGAGAGAGACACAGAGAGACACTGTGGAGAGAGACACAGAGAGACAC